ATGGATGATGGATGAGTGGATGGATGGATGAGTGGATGGATGGATGGGTGGGTGGATGGATGGATGGATGATGGATGAGTGGATGGATGGATGAGTGGATGGGTGGATGGATGGGTGGGTGGATGGATGGGTGGGTGGGTGGGTGGGTGGATGGATGGATGGATGATGGATGAGTGGATGGATGGATGAGTGGATGGATGGGTGGGTGGATGAATGAATGGATGGGTGGATAAATGGATCAGTAGATGGGTGGGTGGATGGATGGGTGGGTAGATGAGTGGGTGGGGAGGTGAGTGGGTAGGAATGGATGGGTAGAGGTGAATGGATATAGGCCGGAACTTACGTGCAGGTGGCATGAACAACTCTGTAGAAAATTATCTGGCAATATGCTAGAATTAATAAGTGAATTAGCAGGGTTATCATACGTAAGATCAACATGTAAAAATCAACCATATTTCTGTATCCTAGCAACAAATTATTAGAAATTCAAATTTTTAAAAAAGCCTGTTTTAGTGGCTCATACCTGTATGTTATCCCAGTATTGGGGCCTGAGCTGGGAAGGTTACTCTGAGTTTGATGCTAGCTAGCCTGTGCTGAAGAGTAGACCTATCTCACACACACACACACACACACACACACACACACACACACAAAAAGAATAACAAAAACAGTTGCTAGCTTTGGAAAGGATGAAATGCTTAGATGGAAATCTACCACAATATGTAGATCTCTACTCTGAAAACTACAAATCACTGGAGAAAGAAATCCCATGTGACCTAAGAAAATGGACAGACATACTGTATAATGTCTGGAGAGCTATAGTCAACATGTTCCAGAAACTCACTCTGTGTGTGTGTGTGTGTGTGTGTGTGTTTTAGAGACAGGGTTTCTCTGTGTGTAGCTCTGGCTGTCCTGGAGCTCACTCTGTAGACCAGGCTGGCCTCCGAGATCCACCTGCCTCTGCCTCTGGAGTGCTGGGAGTAAAGGTGCGGGCCACCCCTGCCCTTCTCAGCAAGATTTTCATACAGAGAAAAGCTGAGTCTAAAACTCATGTGGAGCAGTCCTAGCGGCTCCAGAGGTGGCGACGGACGGGAGAGAGGTGTTTGTGTTGGGTGGGGTGGCAGTTCCCTTGGGAATGGACTTTGTGTCACTTATCAGGTGAGAGTCTTAGAAGTTGCTTTTCGTGCCTGGCCACTGCAGAGCTGCATTCACTCCTCTTCACGAAGCCTCACGGTACTTGCTGTGGTCTGAGGGCTGCTCCCCCATCTCCAGTTCATATCCTGGAATCCGGTACTAATGAGATGGCTAAGGAGCAGGGCAGAGCCATAGCAGAGTGAGGTACTCTGTCAGCACTGGGTGGGGAGGCTGAGGTAAGAGGATAAGCAGTTTAAGGATAGCCTGGGCTAAAAAAAATGGTTAGGTTTGGGAAGTCTTGAGGCTTAGTCCTCAGGAATGGTATCAGTACTAATGTAAGAAACAATGAAGG